TTCTGCACTATTCTTCTGTCCTTGTAGCAGTTTGGCTTGACTTTCTGCACTATTCTTTTGTCCTTGTAGCAGTTTGGCTTGACCTTCTGCACTATTTTTCTGTCCTTGTAGCAGTTTGGCCTGACTTTCTGCACTATTCTTCTGTCCTTGTAGCAGTTTGACCTGACTTTCTGCAATACTGACTTGTCCTTGTTGCAGTTGTTCTAATTTGCTGTTAACTGTTTAAATTTGAAAATATTTTTTCGCAAGAAATTAGAATAAATATGTCACACCATTTTCCTCCAGTTTTCTATTTTATGTCTTCTTATTTAGCGCTTTTTTCATCATCTAGGTGTCAAAATATGTTGTGGAGTCCCTTGGTTAGGCCTCGTATAAGTCCATAACATTTTGACAGCTAGATGACAAAAATTGTGGTAAATGAGATGTAATACCATGGAAAACTGGAGGAAATTGGTTAAATGCATGCATACACTTAGATGCAATGAAAACAATTTTCTTACAATGTAACTTACATGAATCCAGTGTATCTAGAATGGCTTGGTCTTGGTCTGCACAGTGTTTCAACATTGGAAGTAGTTCAGTCCATGGCTTTTGAACATCTTGAGAAAAGATATGTGCGTATCAGAGAAGCACTTGTTTATACAGAACAAGTATACTACAAACCATAGCTATTCGTTTTATGTTCTCATACTTATTCTAGTCTGTTCTGTCCCATTCAATTCCTTTCTATTCTATTCTGTTTCCATATATACTTATTCTAGTCTGTTCTTTCCTATTCAATTCCTTTCTATTCTATTCTGTTCTCATACTTATTCTATTCTGTTCTGTCCCATTCAATTCCTTTCTATTCTATTCTGTCCCATTCAATTCCTTTCAATTCTATTCTGTTCACATACTTATTCTATTCTGTTCTGTTCTCATGGTTGTTCTGTTTATTCTCTCCCATGCAATCATGTGTGGTTCTATTCATTCCATTTCCTTCACTTCTACATTTCATACTATTTCCTTAAGAAAACTTAAATTCTATTCTGTCCCATTCAATTCCTTT